CAAGTTAACTTATCATTTTACTATTCTTACTTTATCACCTTGTGAGATAGCAAATTCTAATTTTTTATGATTATAGTTTTATTTGTTATTAATTTTATTATATCTTTTTATTGTTTAGTTTATCTGTGAATTTTTAGTTGCATTAAACACTAACTCACCTTCTACATGGCCCGGCATGGCCAGGTGGTTAGGGCGCTCGTTTGTTTGTTTGTTTGAAGTTAAGCACAAAGGTACACATTGGGCTATCTGTGCTCTGCCCACCACGGGTATCGAATCCCGAATTCTAGCGTTGTAAGTCCGCAGACATACCGCTGTGCTACTGGGGGCGTAGGGCGCTCGACTCGCAATCTGAGGGTGGCGGGTTCGAATCCCCGTCCCACCAAACATGCTCGCCCTTTCAGCCGTGGGGGCGTTATAACGAGACGGTTAATCCCAAAATTCGTTGGTAAAAGAGTAGCCCAAGAGTTGGCGGTGGGTGGTGATGACTTGCTGCCTTCCCTCTAGTCTTACACTACTAAATTAGGGACGGCTAGCATAAATAGCACTCATGTAGCTTTGCGCGAAATTCAAAACAAACAAACGAACGAACAAACCTTCTACATAATAATTTGTATTTTGAGTAAATATATATGTTTGTATGATGAAAGTGACACCAGCTTCCCTAGCGGTGATGTACAGATATTATTAATGTAGTGGAAGAGTATGTAAATTTATGATCACATGAGGACATTGTTATTGCTATTTCTCACTCGATATTGACATTGAAAGGTATTGTTTGAATATTGTATTTTTTTGGAATTAGGTGTTTTTTTTCTTTTTGGTTCCTCTTCCTGATTCCGTTATTATTGATTTATAGATATTTATGATAAATTGTATATGAATGTTAGAGTGAAGGCCAGGTATTTGTTTATTATTCCGTCGATGCTCGTATTGTTTAGTAAAATTAAGCACATCAGCAATAGATATAACAAAGTGACATTCAAAGTATTCTCTCAAAGAAACGTGTTATTGTGATATTATACATTTCACAATTTATCTTTCTGTACCTACAGGGTTCTATAATTTATAAATTTTCACAGTTTTCCAAATAAAAGTCCCAACTAATACACCTGTATTAGCGTGGTATTTCCTGCTGAAGAGTTCCTTAGCCATTTCGATATTATTTAACACTACTATGAACAAATTAATCAATTTTTTCTTTAAATTCTCTAGTATTTGAAAGCAACTTCTGATTCAAGAGTGTTCCACATTTATATTGGCTCTCCCCTCAAACAAGAAGCTGCATTCTCCACCCATATATTCTCAGGTACTTGATACATATAAAAATGTCTTTATAAACTTTTAAGAAACTCCACGACATTAAAATCCGACTTACTATCAAACTTCTCAACAGGCAGGGGTGGTGGGTTGACTGTGATGATATAAATCAATGAATTTTCCACAGGTCTGTAGGTAGAATGGACTCTCGACATTTGTGGTTGAGGTTGAGGGGAGGGGGACTAAAGTTCTCTCCCTAATAAATCATGCGTATTAGCATTTCAACAGGTTCTGTCAATACTGACATAGACTACTTCAAACTTGTCACATCAGGCTCACTAACTTTTATTGTAACAGTTACTTTCAAACACTAGTTAACTTATATTTAACTGAACTTAAATTATTGTTGAATTAATCACTCGATACCAAATTGGCAAACGAAGAAAAAATATCCAAAGTCACAATTCAACAGAAAAGCCACTGTTTAATAAACCTATCGTTATTGTCCCACTACATTGCAAGTGCTACATGATCAAGTGAATGAAATGCTTCATGATGGGTTAACTGAACCTTCCACTTCTTCTTGGGATTTTCCATTAGTTATTTTCAAGAAGAAGACTAATGATCTTAGGTTCTGTGTTGACTACAGGAAGTTTAATCGAGTCTCAGAACCTGACCACTATACATTGCCTCATATAAGTGATATTTTGAATGCTTTGTCAGGGACAACCCGTATCAGTACATTAGACTTATCCAGTGGATATTGGCAAATACCTGTTAAGATGGGGGATCGACATAAAACTGTTTTCATAACGAATAACGGACTTTATCGATTTAAAATGATGCCTTTTGGTCTTAAAAATGCATCTGCCAAAGACTTATGGTTAAGGCTTTAACAGGAACAACTGAATGTTCCTGATGATATTATTATATTGTTTTCACCCATACTTGAACAACACTTAAAAGCCCTTGAATTGGTTTTCTACAAGCTATGTACAGCTAATCTTACTATAAAAGTTTCTAAAAGTACATTTTGCCAATCAGAAGTATAATATTTAGAATTTAAACTCACTTAAGAGGGAATACACAGAAATGATGACAAAGTAAAAGTGGTTACAGACTTCCCAACTCCCATTAACTGCAAAGATTTAAGTACATTCTTGGGTATGTGTGCTTGATACAATCAGTTCATTTCAAACTTTGCTACAATTGCTGAACCTTTATATTAGTTACGAAGGAAGAATATCAGGTGGAAATCAGTGTGTGGATGCATTCCAGAAATTAAAGCAGGCTTAATGTGAATCTTATGTCTTACAACTTACAAAAAATTATTAACTTTATTTTTTGCATACTGGTGTTTCAACTGTTGGATTAGGAGCAGTTCTGTGTCAGAAAGGTGTCATAGCATATGTCAGTAGACCACTGAACTCTGCAGAAATAAACTATACTACTACAGAGTTACAATGTCTAACCGTAGTCTAGACTAAGGAAAAATTATAGATATACCTATTAGGAGAAGAATTTATAGTTATAACTGACCACACTGCCTGGAAATGGTTACAGACAGCTCCTAAGGTTAACTGGTATACGGATGCGTTGGTCACTAAAATTACAAGACTTAACAGTGAAAGGAAAAGAGAACCAGTTCCCTGATGTTCTATCTAGATATCCTATTGACCCCCTCCAGAAGAGAGTTCAGATTTGGACATCAGTAAGCTATCATTTACACTTTTTTGCCATTGTCAATGTTACCACTAGAGAACAATTGGCTACTGAATATATATACGCGATGATGAATATAAGCATATATACCTATATTTGAAAACTGGACTATTATCAGATGATTCTACTATAATTTCAGAGACTGTAAGTAAATTCAAACACTATGTCTTGAATGATAATGTTTTTATTACACAAAAAAGGTTGCTATCAGTAGTGAATTCAGACCAGTTATTCCCAAAATATTCATACTGGTAATTTTAATCGAATTGCATGATCATATTATTGATATTCATCTTGGTGTACAAAAAACAATAGACAAAGTATCCAGACGTGGTTATTGGCCTGGTATGAGAAAGGATATTAACAATTATGTATTGTCATACAGTGTTTGTCAAATCACTAAACTTGATCAGAAGCAGCCAGCTGGATTTATGCAAAGTACTAAACTAATGCAATCTGGTGAGATAATAGGAGTATACATCATTGCACCTTATCCTAAATCTATGAACATGAAATAGTTACGTGTTGGTTGTGACAGATTATTCCAGTAATTCATGAATCACATAAGTTTTTTTTTTCATTTCAGTAGATATTGACAATTGTTTGTTAGATGAAGTTTTCACTTTTTGCCCATTTCGGGTACGATGAGTTGATCATAGTTTGAGATGCAATGACGTAGCTAGTTGATTGTTCAGCTTAGGTTGTAGGTTAATAATTAGGCGTGCTTCCTTGTTTCTTAGCGTCCATTCATCTTTCACCGAGTCTATTATTCTGAAGTGTTCACTGTTCAGTTTTTCGTCACAGTCTTTGCTTAGGTGGTTGTAAATTCTAGAGTTATTGAAAGGGCTGTTATGCGCATGCTCCTTGGTTCTGGTAGCTAAGATTCGAGTCGTTGGCCCAATATAGACTTGTCTGCAACAAGGACACAAATGTTAGTATACTACCAGCGATTTTTCGAAGGAGGTATTGTGTCTTTAAACAGGGAAAAAATGCGTATCCGTTTGTTCGTTTCAAGATTACACTTAGGCTGACTTGGGGATAAGTTGACTGTAGAATGTTTTGATTTTACTTTTTAGATTGATGCTGTGGGAACCAATGAAGGTTACAGGACATTTAGGAACGTTGAGGTCAGGAATTTTGGGGTTGTAATCCTTAATGATATATTCAAAAATACTTTTATTGATGAGTGCTAGAGGAAAGGCAATTTTAATCAAATATTTTGTTAATATTAATAAGTTCATCATGAAAATAACCATAAAAGCTGGTAAGTTTATATGCTCTATGAAGTAAAATGCACATTAAATTAATTTTGTAAGAGTCGGGTATAAATGTGCTGAAATGACAGTACAGTCCAGAAAATGTTTGTTTGTGATAGTATTTAGTTTCGAACTTGTTGTTCCGGTTGATGACTTCTAGATCTAAAAAAAGGCAGCTTAGATTCGTTTTGCTCTTCAACTGTGAACTAGATATTCCTGTGCTTTGAATTTAAATAATCTTGAAGCTTGTTGATATGGTTTTGCTTTCTGAATACAATAAAAGTGTCATCAACGTATCTCTTATAATTAAAGTGTTCATTAACTGTTTTCTACACTGGCAGCTGAACTCACCCAATGAAATGGTTCATGATTCTACTAATGTTACTGTTAGTTAAAGTGTTCATTAACTGTTTTCTACAGTGGCAGCTGAACTCACCAAATGGCATGGTTCATGATACTACTAATGTCACCAATGTGTGTGTGTGTGTGTGTGTTATATATATATATATATATATATATATAATCATTCGAGTAAGTTATCCTTATCATGCACGTTGAGTAATTCAGTTTTTGTAAGTTGCTTACGAAGCGTTTAGCTTAACAGCATAGAATACATTCAAATATATGGATGTACTAAGTAGCCATCTTATGATTGTGGAAAAGAAATATATGAATTATACATAAAGCTAGAGCATACATGAAAGTCTCGTTGCTATCTGTTCAAGAGACAAGCACTCTCAACGCCAGAGCTCCCCTTCCCGTTAGAGGGCGTATCAACTGATCGCTGCAGTCATAAATTTTGTCGAACAAGCGGTGTAAACAGGAACATGCACAGTTGGTGTAAATTTCGCATGTAATGTACACTGGTTTTAACTTTATTTTCTTGATTACATAAACCGAGAGGAAATTACGAAAGAAACAATATTATTATCTTATCATGCAGATCGAACCGAAGAATCTGGTGACCGTCAACCTACTGGTATGGCTGCTTTTCACTGCAGCCATTCGCAGTGCAGGAAACCCTGACGCCAAGAGACTCTACGATGATTTGATGAGTAGCTACAATAGGCTTGTTCGGCCTGTCAGTAACAATTCAGACACTCTCACGGTTAGAATGGGCCTCAAACTATCACAGCTGATTGACGTTGTAAGTGGATATTTTATATTTTTATTTGTTCATTATTTGTCAAATGCTCGCGATACTGGCCTTTCAAAAATTCTGTTACGATGCACGTTAATGGCGAAGAATTGATTTCAATTTGAACAGACTCGTCGTTTTAGATAATTTTTAAAAACAGATTTCTGTTTAAACAGAAGTTTATTTCAAACGATTGTCTTCATTGAGAAGAAACCGTTATAATGTTTTTGAAACGGTTTTCTCTGGAATTAACACACGTATATAGTGAACGACTCTTTCATTACAATTTATGATATCACTTGACACATATTTTACCTTTCTCCAATATTAAGTTAATTTTGCCAAACTTTAGCTTATATTTATGAGAGAAACTACTAAAAATTGCGTGGTTTAAATAAAAACAGACTGAGATTCACTCTCTTACGTATTTAACTGCTACACAGCCTTTTTTCACGTGTTTTACGGGAAGTCACATAATATCTTAAGCATCTTAGGTTTCAGTTACGCAGAAAAAATTCTGCAAGAGACTGAACTTGATGATGTAATGGAGAAGAGATAGTTCTTAGCCTTATGGATATTTAGTGATGATGTAATAGAGAAGAGATAGTTCTTAGCCTTATGGATATTTAGTGATGATGTAGTGGAGAGGAGATAGTTCTTAGCCTTATAGATATTTAGTAAAGATGTAGTGGAAAGGAGATAGTTTTTAGTCTTATGGATACTTTGTGATGATGTAGTGGAGAGGAGATAGTTCTTAGCCTTATGGATATTTAGTGATGATGTAGTGGAGAAGAGACCGTTATTAGCCTTATGGATATTTAGTGATGACGTAGTGGAGAAGAGACAGTTCTTAGCCTTATGAATACTTAGTGATGATGTAGTGGAGAGGAGATAGTTCTTAGCCTTATGGATATTTAGTGGTGATATGATGGAGAGGAGATAGTTCTTAGCCTTATGGATATTTAGTGATGACGTAGTGGAGAAGAGATAGTTCTTAGCCTTATGGATATTTAGTGACGATGTAGTGGAGAGGAGATAGTTCTTAGCCTTATGGATATTTAGTGATGATGTAGTGGAGAGGAGATAGTTCTTAGCCTTATGGATATTTAGTGATGATGTA